GTGCATGATCATTTCTCGGTTCCTGACGATTTTGCTGCCGATTTCTTTGTTGCTGCTGTTTTTGTTGTTGTTGCCTTTGTTGATGTTGTTGCTGTTGTTTTTTGGAAGATTTGTAGGTACTTGCATCTCTTTTTATATCATTTGCACCAATATCAGCACTTGTACCTGCATTGCTCCCTTTTCCGTCACTTTGCTGTTGATTTTGTTCTTGTTGTTGCTGTTTTCTTATCTTCTTTTTTTTATTTTTCATTGCGCGACGACCCTCAGTCTGACACATTGAATCGACCAATTTTTTGTTTTTTGTGTCTACATATGTTTTAGGCTCTGGTTGACATTTGTTGAAATCAGCAAGCAATTGTTTTTTCAGATCTTCAAATTTATTGGTCACGATTTGTTCGATGTTTGTTTTTTTTTCGTTGTCAAATTGCTTCCGAGACCAGCATGTAAAACATGTAACTGCGAAAGGCGATTCAGCACTGAAGAGTTTTTTGAATTCATCTTCAACACGTTTGTCGCTATTATATGAAAATGCATTTTTAGCTGGATCTGTCAATTGTAGAAGTCCAAATTTTATCAAGAAACTCCTCACAACATCATCCCACATTCTCATGCATGCCACATATATCTTTTTTTCACAAATCATGCAGTTCAAATGCAGACCAGAATAGCGTAATCCGTCACAACCATTTTCAACACAGCAATGCAATTTACTCATATTGTACCGTCAATTACACTAACAACAATGATGAGACACTTTTTCGTTTGTTTTCTTCCTCTTCTTTTCTTTAATTTACTTCAAATCACTTAAACTTGATGTTTTTCTTGTACACAATTCAATAATAATTCTTTCAATAATTTTTCCTGTTTTTTTTAAATGTGATTTCGATTAAAATTAAGCAAAATTAAAGTATCCAAATAGAGAGCGAAGAAAAAAAACATGCAGACGTGACAGCTGTATAATTAAAACTTACTAACTTGAGTGCGCTTTCGATCTATGAGGAAAAAATCAAAGCAAGACATACATTTTTTCAAGATAAATGACGATTAACTTCGATTTTCATCGATTTTTCTCCATTTTTTGAGGTCTAGTCATTCTGATATAACCTTTCTCGCTGAATTTTTTTTCAAACTTTCTTTGTTGCTTCATCAAGATGACCTTAATGACTTTCCAATAAGCTAAGAATGACGTGATTCTGTTAAAGAACACCCCGTATATCTGTGATCAAAAATGGCCAAAAATTGAAAATTTACCGAAAAAAAAAATTTCAACTTCGGAGTATTTTTTTTAAAAAAACGAATTTTCCCAGATATGACACATAGGCCAAATCATCACATATTTGGTCCCTAACAAACGCCTAGTTTTTTGATTTTTTTCATAGACGCATTTTTTTTTAAATTTGGATCACGTGAAAAAAGTCATGGTCATTTTTCGCCGAAAATGCCACATAACACGCCACCTGGCGGACATTTTTGAAAATTTTTCCATTCTAACTTCGGATCCGGAAAGGTGAGTCTTTTACCTTTCCAACGACGTATAAATCATTGTGGTACCTTACAGATGGCCAGAAAAATGTCCGATCGATGAAAAACTCAAAAACGGCCTCCCAAAAATATTCGACCCCAGACCAAAACCACTTACGCAACAAATTTTTTGAAACTGAGAAATTAGTTTGCTCAGTTTTCAGTCTACTTTCGAAAAAAAATAATTTCACACAATTTAAAAGAAACTACGGACAGACATACAAACACCTCAAACAGCCAATTTGAGGTTTTTGGCCATTTTTGGCCAACTGGCCATATCTCGGCCACTTTTCAACCGATCGTGATGATATTTTTTTTTAACATTATCTACGCGGTCCCTAGATTCCGAATATGACCAAAAAAAATTTCGAAAAAATCATTTCAGTGGTCAAAAATCGAGAAAAATGAATTTTCACCGATTTTTTAAAAAGGCCACCTGGCGGCCAAATTTTGAAATTTTTTAATTTTTTTTGCGGATTCTTAATTTGGTGCCCGGACACTACTAAAATATGCAAAAACCCCTTTCCAAAAGTCAGCGGTATCGATTTTCATTTCTTTAACGTATATATAGAGTGACGCAAAATATACATATTTCATATGTATGTGGGTATTGCGTCACTTGGGGGACTGCCGTCCCCCGTGATAAGAAAAGTTATGCACAAAAACACGTTTTGTTTCTCATTTGTATTAGTTCATCTAATTGCGTATATACAAATTATGAATTCCATGAGTTTCAAGTTATCCATTTGGTGTCTCAAAATTTTAAGCATTGCATTGGTTCAGTGGTTACGCTTACGGTGCATGACACTGAAAGTCTCAGGTTCGATTCCGTGTGAAACACTATCGGAAAACACTCTTTTAGAATTCAACTCATCACAAAACGTTGCAAATCTTTAGAAATTTCTCCAAATATATTATCTAGGTAAAAAAAATTATTATCTAAATAAAAAAAACTTAGACGTGCAGACCCCAGCTCAGTAATCAGCATGGCTCAGTAATCTTTGGACACAGCCCTATCAAGCTATGATAGCCGTTGCTATGGTCGTTACTAAAAATTCGAATTCGTTGACTATTGAAATTCTTTAAATTTTCTGGTTTTTACAGATTTTTGAAGATTTTACCTGGATTAGTAAATTTTTATAATTTGGCTATTTGATAGTTTATAAAGACTAAAATGGTCTTAATCGATGAATTTGAGCGTAGAAATGTGAAAAATAAACCAAAATTGTTATTACTAAAAATCACATTTTTTTTCGATTTTTTTGAAATAGTTGTCTTGATTCTTGTTCAAGTAGCCACCCTATATGACATATAAACCCATCAAAAAGTGGCTGTTTTGGAATCAGCTCATGCTTATACAACTACTCTGGGCTGTAGAGCCAAATCGAGAAAAATTCATACACCCTACTCCACAATTTAATCTCATTTGAAGTTAGAATACTTGCAGAGCAAAACTAATGTGATTACACTTTGATATACACCCATTTCAACGCATCGTATAGCTATAATTCACTTCTTAACCTATTTCAATGACTGAATTCGATCAATTTTGACAATATAAACAATATCAATGCTGTTGGAAAGCGTTCTGGCCTGATTTGCGCATTGCTATACTGGCCGAGGTGAATGTATGTTTTCAACTCGCAATATAAAATGGATCATTTTATGAAGAACCAAAAGTGACATTATTAATTGGTTTTAAATCATATATTTTATGCTAAAATCGATAGAATATCATGAAATACAAAATAATGTAAAAATAAGACATTTCGACTTAATTTTCAACCAGAAATCCGATGGAAGTGGTTTTACAGTTATCTGAAATTATTTGAAGGTCGAAAAATGGGTCGGTATTCAGACATGTTTTCAACTCGTCATATTTTGAATGACTAAAAGAAATGTTTCCAAATCAAAGCGTATGGGCTCTAAACAGTTGATTTGGAGGCTGATTTGGCGGCGATTCCTCGTGCCAAAAAAACCCCCAGTACATGATTTTTACAACGGAGAAAAACATTTTTTTTGAATTTTAAAAATAGTCAAATTTCATCAAAATTTGAAAAAACATGTATATCGCTTAAGCCTGGCGCGGTGTAAAAATTCATTTTTTTCCTAATTCGTCGCCATATTCGTGTTCCTATGACCATCCTCAAGAGGTACTTTTTTTGATTATCAAAAAAAAAGTCAAAATCGAACCACTCTAATGTGCGTGGTACCCTGTACGCTGTACGCAATTTTTTTTAACACGATAACTTTCAAAGAAAAAGTAATTCAAAATCTGACTTCACAGGAGGATTGACCCAATATTTGTGTAATTAATTCCTTATTAAATCCCTGGTATCATGTGCTGATTCATAATATTTTGAACTGTTTGAAACATTAGTTGACTTTAAATCTCCGTGAATAATTTTGAAAATAAAAGACACTTGCGTCATCTTGCGTCTCTCCCCAAGAGTTTTCATTTGCAGAAATAGAAGTCTGTGTTCGTATTACTTTTCCGCACGCACCTAGTGTGTAAGGTAAAGTATTGGAATCGGTCGAAAAATTAACACCCATAAAAAATGTGTTTTCTGGGTGTTTTCGGGGTCAAGGAACACGAATCTAGCGTTTTTTCGATGTTCGAATGTATGTGCGTATCCTGTATCCTGTACCCTGTACGCTGTACGCAAAAATTTGTTAACACCCCATATGAAACTTTAACGCTATGCGCGTCAAATCGAAGTTATCCGACGCTATTCTATGTGTATATATGAAATTGTACATTATGTTTTACAGTGCCTGCGCCGTCTACTGTGATTGAGTCGCAATTCAATACACAAAACATAACAGGCAACGCGCGCACATAAACGGAGTTCGTGTGTTACTGTTTATAAGGCCGCATGCTTGCACAGCACTGTAAAACATAATGTACAATTCTATATACACATGGAATAGCGTCGAATAACGTCGATTTGACGCGCATAGCGTTGAGGTTTCATATGGGACGATAACTTTCAAACAAGAAAAGTAATTCAAAATTTGACTTCACAGGATGATTGGAGGTGCCGAGGAATAGAAACCATAAGATTTTGAGCGACTTTGGTTGATAGAGTGAAGTGTCATGTCTGGTGTGAGCATCCATTGGAAAAATTAAATTTTTCTCCCAAAAGTGATATTTAATGTATTCTTAAATACTCAAAAATAAGTATAAGGGGTTTTTTGGTACGAGAAATCCGAATATGACGTTAGTTTCGCGATACAAAAAATTTTCGACACACTTTTCATACAAAAATTTCAAAAAAATTCAATTTATGTATGAAATCCATGTCTGTATGATATCGTAATGAGCTGAAGATTTGCAAAGGTTATTTTTATCACAACAGATTGAAGAAATTTCAATGCGTATTGGGGGTACCTCCCGAACAACATTTTGGATTTTTCGCTCAAAAAAGAAAATTTTGTATGGGAAGTACCTTTAATATGCATTGACATTTCTTCAAATTTGTTGAGATTATTTGGTTTGGCAAGAAAATCACAGCAATGAAACGACAACAACAATAACACATATTTTTACTGTCAAAATTTTGATGTCAAATGGTGTCGACATTGGTGACGGTATTTTGAAACAGACTGTTCATATAGGGTGGGTCATTTGATCCATTTTCATGAAATGTACCATGAACATGTTTTTTATTATAGAGGACCTCAATACAAACAACTTTTGTACTACGACTTTGACCCCAGATGAACCTCCGTTCGGCCCGGTACATTTTCATATTCCATGGTATGACCCTCTGATGACCCTCTGAATCGTTAGTTGTTAAGGTCTAGACGCCATCGGATCTCATTTTTATGGCGTTAAAGCGATTCCTCGTCAAAAATTACGTCGAAATAGTCCTTGTTAAGAAATTTTTTTCAGGTTAAATACCATCCAGATCGAAGAATCCGGAAAATTCGGACTTTTTTTCCTCAAAAAATCGGGAAAACCCATACCAAAACTAAAAGAAGGTCGATCAAGCGTGACGCCAGCTGCACCCCAGGACCATACAAACACTTTGGCAGTTACAGATTTTCCAAAGTTTTCCACATGAGTTAACCTTGTTCATACAAATGTGCTATTTGTTGCAATTTTTAGCGAAGGATCCGGATTGGTTCGGAAACTGTACCATATTTCATGGATAGACCATCCGATCAACAATGCAAATACCACATTTCTACCTAATTTTCAACGAGGAATCGAATGGAACTGGTTTCGCAGTGATTTGACAACATATAAGGGTCGAAAAATGGCCAGGCACTCAAGGTACTTTTCAACTCTCAATCATTCTAAAATTCATGTTGCTATGGAATATGCTACTACGTATGCATATCATATAAAAAATAGAGCCATTTGAAGAAAGTTCACTAAAGTGTAGTTATGCCGGTTTTTCTATTCTTTACGAACTTGAAAAGCAAAAAAAAAGGTCTTCACCTTTTCCGCAAGAAACCCACTTTTTATGAAATTTCTTCAAACCTTCAGAATGTTATTTCGTTGAGAATTAATTAGTCTGTTCAAAGTTTCACGTCATTGAAATTCCATAAAGGCATGGCTCCCATACAAAACCCACATTTTTGGTTATTTTTCAGATCTTTGTGATTTTTTATGAAAAGTGTATCAAAACATGAATTATCGCAAAACTAAGATCATATTTGGTTTTCTCGTGCTAAAAAACCCACTACGTATTTTTTTACAGCGGGAAAGATATATTATAAATTCGTCAATCTAGAAAATTTTTAATCAAAAATGGTCTCAAATACTTTTTATACATGGACATTTAAACGCCTTTACTTTACATTTATATTACCGATTATTGAGTATGAAGCAGACATTTGGAATCCATACTACAACAATAATAAATAATAATATATTAATTATTTTCAATAAACCACCAAGGCGAAGGAGCGCTGTTCGGTGCAGTTATTATTATTAATATTATTATTATTAATATGTGCAAAAGAATTGAGTCAATACAAAAGCAATTTTTATTGTGTGCACTGACGATTTTAGACTGCTAAATAAAATAAAATGTCTTACATCCGTAAGATGAACTTTTCCGCACTGTGATCCACAACATGCATTTATTACGTATCTTTTACCGTAAAGTTGAATTCATGAGAAAACTGAATCTGACATAAGCTTTGCGATAAAAATAATTTTTGATATACTTTTCAATGCTTGTATGAAATCGTAATCTTGTGAAAATTTGCAGATGTTATTTTTTTCACAAAAAGCCAACATTCTGAAAGTTTGAAGACACAACTTAGTGGCACCTTCCACACAAAATTTCGTTTTTGCGCGAAAAATCCAAAATTTTGTTCGGGAGGTACCCCCAATATGCGTTGAAATGTCTTCAATATCTCGGAATGTTATTTTTGGGTGATAAAAAAACCTGTGGAAAGTTTCAGCTCATTACGATATCATACAGGCATGGCATTCATACATAAATTGAATTTTTTTGAATTTTTTGTATGAAAAGTGTGTCAAAATATATTTGTATCGCAAAACTTACGTCATATTCGGTTTTCTCGTACCCAAAAACCCCTCAATACATATTTTTGAGTGTTCAAGAATACATTAAATATCAATTTTGGAGGAAAAATTGAATTTTTTCCATTTATGCCCATGGGCATCACACCAGACATGACACTTCACTCTATCAACCAAAGTCGCTCAAAATCTAATGGTTTCTATTCCTCGGCACCCCCAATCATCCTGTGAAATCAAATTTTGAATTACTTTTCTTGTTTGAAAGTTGACAAATTTTTGCGTACAGGGTACAGCGTACAGGGTACAGGATACAGGGTACGCACATACATTCGGACATCGCAAAAACGCTAGATTCGTGTTCCTTGACCCCGAAAACACCCAGAAAACACATTTTTTATGGGTGTTAATTTTTCGACCGATTCCAATACTTTACCTTACACACTAGGTGTGTGCGGAAAAGTAATACGAACACAGACTTCTATTTCTGCAAATGAAAACTCTTGAGGAGAGACGCAAGATGACGCAAGTGTTTTTTATTTTCAAAATTATTCACGGAGATTTAAAGTCAACTAATGTTTCAAACAGTTTAACATATTATGAATCAGCACATGATGCCAGGGATTTACCAATTAGAGGAATTAATTACACAAATATGAACCAATAAATTATATTACATCATTTAACAATTGTTATACCAAAATGTGATGATAATTATTATTGTTTCTTTCCTTTCATGTAAATAATATAAATTTCATAAATTAATTTTCCAACTGCTTAAAATTTCTATAATCTCTTTTTAAATATTTAGTATTAATCAACAGTCAAACTAAGAATAGAAAAATACAAGATAGACGGCATTCAAATTGAAAGAGTCTTTATAATAAGGGACTTGGGAGTGTTGCTTGATGTGCAAATGAATTTCAAATCACACATTGAGCATGTCAAGCTAAAGCCAAATCAAGACTGGCTTGGTTAAAGTTCTACGGCAAGGATTTCGTCGATCCATGGACCATAAAACGCCTTTATTTTACATTTGTATTACCAATCATCGAATATGGATCGGAAATATGGAATCCACACTACGACAATATGTGCAAAAAAATAGAGTCAATACAAAAACAATTTTTACTTTATGCCCTAAGGAGAATGAACTGGGATGGCTATAGACTTCCAAAATATGAGCATAGACTGCTGTTTCTACAAATAATTACGCTGGAGGAAAGACGGAAGATGGCACAAGTGTCTTTCATCATCAATAAAACAGAATAGATGAAGAATGTATATATCAAAAACTATTATTTATATCTATCAGAATTGCTTGATTTAAGATGTATTTATATTGTACTTTACATATTTATTTAAAATATTTTGAAAACACCTCCAAGGCGAAGGGACGTTCGGTGCAGCTATTATTATTATTACATAATATTGACTTCATATCTCTATGAATAATTTTGAAAATGAAAAACACTTTCGCCACCTTTCGTCTCTCCCCTAGAACACGTAGAACAGAACAACAACAACCTTGCTCAAAACGGCCTGATTCAGATTCTCTGACCCCGGAAACGTCCAGAAAACATGTTTTTTAGGTTTTGTAAATTTTGACCCATTGCAATACTTTCGCCTTACACACTAAGTTTGTGTGTGGTTTTGTCGTGTTGTTGGTGGTTCAAATATATTTTTAGATTTTGGTGACCAGTTATAGGCGTATAATGTGAAAAATGGCATAAAAACATTCATAAAGGTCAAGTCAATTGATATAATTTAACACTGGCTTTGTCTTAAATCGATTGATTAATAATACAGTGAATCTAATATTTTTGGTAGACAAAATTTTGCATGACACACTCCACTCACACGCCATTCGTATATGAATCCTATGTTAGTGGAGAGTTTCTCTGCTTACTTTGCTTGTTATTTTGTCTATCAAAAAAATTAGATTCACTGTATTTTTGCATAACACTTTTAATCATGAGGTCCATTTTTATATATATATATAATATATATATTTGTGGTAGAACTGTCAATTGATGAGGAATGCCTCCATATTTGGCTACATAACGTTTCCAAGTAATATAAAAAACGATGTTATCTGGACTAGGTTTTCACGAGGAGTCTGAATCTGATTTCGGAAATGTATAATAACTGTTCAGAAATTCTTAAAAATTTAAAATCGATCCACCCTATTAAGCAGTGTATCACTGCCTTCAATACTACACCTAAGAATCACAGGTTTTCATCATAAATTACTTTTGGAATGCATGAGGAAAAGAGCATTGAAGAGTTTTAATGTTATACATACATATATTTATTACATCTATAATTGTGTAGATATCATCCCTAACGATACCCTTTGACCAATTTTTATTATAGCATAAACAAGCGTGAACCACATGGAAGTCTCTGAAAATTCGCGAGTTCACCGGATTGTACAGCCTTAAAAAATGAATCATGGCAAAACATCGGCAAAACAGGTGTTGAAAAAAACAACAATTGACTTCGCCATCAAATATGAAATGACTCACCAAAGAGTCAGACTGAGATGTCTACGAACGCGTTCATATAAAAATTGTTCGTTCGTAGAAACATTTTTTCGATTCGCGTTCGTACGTATTCGCCAAGGAAGACAACGCGTTCGTTCGCATTTGTTCGTAGAAAGTTTTCCCCCATTCGTGTTCGTTCGTATTCGTGACGAACGCGAACAAACACGAACGAATATGAATGTTCATTGTTCGTAGACAACTTAGTCTCAGTCAGTTCAGTTAACTTCCTGTTTAGTACTGTATTCATTTCGTTGCACTTTACATTTATTAATTTTATTTTCACCCGTAAACTACCCAAAGTGTTAATAAAAGTTTTAAATTTCCGATCGATTTTAAGTGCCGAATAAATAAGTTTGTGAAAATAGGAGGTGCCCAATCGGGGTAGTAAGGGCAGGGAAGAACCCCACCATGCCAAAATTTGGTCGGATCAAAAAATAATGTACTAAAAAGTTGTTCAGAATGACGAGAGATATTTTTAAGGATGGAGTGAAACATAGGTCAAGAGAGATTGACAATGTATGGAGCCTATAGGTAATTTTTCACGAGGAATCCGAATATGTAATTAATTTTGGGGTTAGATGGGTTGTAGTGGGATTTGGGGAATAATATTAAATATAGGAAAAATCCACTACGGTGGAGTCCATAGACAAACACTTTAAAATATATTGATGATATTTATTGAATAATAGATCGAACGATTGATACATAGGTGTTAACTTAGCGAATGTCTGTAATGAACTCAACGTTGGTGGCGAAGCACGGCGCGTATATATCGAACAAAGAGATAACGTATTAGTCGTGCGACGCTGCCAACGTAACGATTAAGCTTACACTGTTAACATATGTATGATAAATATATTGAGGTGAATTATGATATAGGCCTAAATGGAGGTGATTAGATAAATATATGTATGTGGTCGGTGGAGGCCACTACAGGGTCATGGACCTAATTTCGGGGTATTTTTCGAAATTTTCGTGAATTTTGTAGGGGGAGTGATGGGAGGGGGTGGACAATGGCCTAAATGAAATGTCCGGATAAAATTAGTTATAGTTGGCCATACATTTGAGTGCGAAATTCCGTGTGTGGAAGTTGCTGAATTGTTGGGAAACTTGGGGTGAATGGGATCTAGACGAATATCATTTCTAGGGTATTTTGGTATACTGATTCCGAATTTAGAGGTTTTGAGTGAAAAAAATCATGGGTGAAGGGGTTATGACCGACTTCCTGAGGGT